AAGTAGACTTTAGCTATATTTTGATAAATTTGAAGACCAGAAATTTTTAAAAGGCAGAGAATGTAGAACCTTAAGTTTTACATAAAGGTAAATTGGTAATTTGACTCAAAGGCATAATAGTCATTTTCTTGGTGAGTATCATCTATCATCCATAATTTCATTTATTAATTATAGTGGTTTCAATGTTTTCTATCTTTCATGGCCTTGATAACTTGGTTAACTATCACTGTTGAAAGTAAAATTTTTTCTAAGTCTAGGAAAAGACAAAATATGTGACTTTTGTAAAACAATCTAATAAGAATAAAAAGTGTCGGTATTGGTTCTTTTGATATTGAAATAACCTAAAATGATTTTTTCATAATTTTAGAAGCAAGTTTGCTATGATAGTTGAGAGCCAAAAATTTAATTTTGGTTGAATCTTTTCAATTTTTTTCTTGTAACCAAAATTTAGCTTTTTTGAACCCAAATGAGGAGAGTATTTGCTTATTTATATTAAATATCTCAAGTAAATAGAAAGTAAGGAAAAAAATACAAATGAGGATTTTACTTAAATGGTATTAACTGTACATAAGCTTAAAATTTGTTAAGGATAATGAAGTATTGATACTTGGCACCTTGAATATATTCAACTTAACAAGTATTGATACTTATTTTGTGAATATCTACTTGGTACCCAAAAATCATTTTATTTAAAAAGTATCTATACTTACAAAGGAGATATCGATATTTGGAACCTAAAAACCTTGAGAAAGCAATTTTACCTCAAAAGTGTCGATACTTGAGCTGTAGATATTGATACTACATGTTTTATCAAAAATAAGGGCTGAAATGGTCATTTTTTCAAAGGTTTTAAGCCTTATTCTTTCCTAAACCTTTAGCCTCTTTTCTTCTCTCTCAAGCCTCTCTTTGCCTCTCTTCTCTCTTAACTCTCTTCAACATTGTTACACATTTTCTCACCAAACAAACATGGATTTCAACTTAGATTTTGGTTCTAAGTGTTCTAAAGGTAAGATTTCAACTCCTTCACCTTTAAAATCTGTGGGTTAAATTTTCAGATTTGACTTTCTCTCTCTAAAACTCAATTTCTCTCTCTAAAATGTTAGTTTCCTTTTGGTTTCATTAGCATAAGCTCACCAAGGTAAGTTTGTCTTAAATCTAAGCTATCTAGATTGTGGTTTTCTAGTTTGGAAATTAGAATAAAGTTGGCAAATGAGATTAGTAGAAAATTTATGGGTATTTGAATAAAGAAAATTGAATATTTCAAAATGTATGGAATTAGAGAAAATATTAATGATTGTTAAATCATTGTTAGGTGTTGATGAATGTTCTAGCACTTGATATTAAGCACCTTAGTTGGAGGTGCTAGAGGAAATGTAAGTGGATTTGTATTCAAACTATTTTGATAGAAAAAAAATATGCATGAAATTCAAATGCTCATCAAATTGTCTGTTAAATGTTTAACTCTTGCTCTATGTTACATTATGTTGTTCAATGGAAAAAAGGCTTATGGAGATGCTTTTGTATATATGATTATGGTATTCGTATATATATGACTATTATATAGTATTTGAAAAGTGCATGGGAGCAAGCCTTTTTGTGTTTTAAAAGCTTCCTTGATGATAATATGTATGGTATTGATTAGGTAAATCTTTCCTTTAATAATAATGTGTATCAGTATTATGTAAATCTTACCCATGATGATAATGTGAATGGGTGTTGATTATGGAAATCCTACCCTTGATGATAATGTGTATAGGTAATGATTATGAAAATCTTACCTTGAGCGTAAGGTGACTGGGTATTGATTGTGGGAATCTACCCTAAATGATAATGTGAATGGGTATTAATTACATAAATCTACCTTAATATGATTATGTGATTATGCTTAACGATGAGCAAGCTATTATTGAGAATATATGTTTATGAACATCGTAAGAATTACATGTTACTTAATCTTGCCATGAGGCATTGTGAAATGATTTCACACTTACATAATGAGTGTTGATTTTAATAGTGCTACTTAAGTTAAGAACTTGTAGTTAGTGACAATGGAAGTTAGTTGTTGTGCATAATGTAACTGCCTTAGCTAGCAATGGGAAAATGGAGCTAGCCATGTGTATCCAAATTATAAATGATGCTTTTACGCCTTAAATTTGGAGAGAGAAATATCCCATCCATTGGATCCCATCCATTGGATTTGGAGTACCCTTACTTGTCCTATATAGTAGGGGCAAAATACCACCATGCATTGGATTAGAACACCTTTAGACTATATAAGTACTTTTTGAGTAGTCTCCATAATATACCATATTAGTGAAGCGTTGACTTGAAATGATTTATGTTGTACGATCTTCAAGTTTGAATCTAAATGATGTCTTTTACTTGTTTTTCATTTGAATTATGTCTTTAAGTTGGATATTTGGCATAAGTTATGCATGACTCTTCTTAAGGAACTAGATATGAGTGTTTATATGCAAAACTTTGGGTTTATGAATGAGGTATTGATAACCTTTGAAGGGAGTATCAATACTTGCCAGACAGAATGCTCTAGGAAGCATTTTGTTCAAAAAGTATCGATATCTTTGACCTAAAGATCAAAACTTACAGCATGGTTTCTAACAAAAGATCCCTTTTCAAGTTGTTTTCACTTGGAATTGTCTTGATACTTCCAATTAAGCTTAAAGAGAGTTCTATACTTTAAATTGCTTCCAAAAGGACTTGAAACTTGCGGTTTAGATATGGCATATGAATTGTTTTGTTTTATTGCAAAACACATGGTTTAAAAGTAAAGTAATTGTATTATGAAAAAAAATTGTGTTGGCTTCTTCCCCTCTTATATTTACTCACTAAGTTATACTCACGTTTTTAAAATTCATGTTTTGGTTTTCGGATTTGCTGCTAGGTGAATCATTACTCTTGGAAAGGTTCCCTTCATATCTTTCAATAGGTGTTGGTGCAAGGTATCTGATAAGCGTTACCTTCAATTCGTGTCCATTCCATGGTCTGTGTCCTGTTATGCATTATATTTATGAAGAGTTGAAATACATTGTCTTGTAGCCAAGATTTGGCTTGTTGAATATTAATTTTGCAATGATGGTGTGGCTTACACCAAGTTATAAATGTTGCCATTTGACTATATTATTGTGGTTGTGATCAGCATGTGAGATGTGCATTGATGTGTCAGTGTTAGATGTGTTATATTGGCAATGGAATATGGAGCAAATATATGATCATGATAAAATGCATATGTATAGATGTTCATGTGAATGCATTACAATGTTTGAGATGACTTCACACAATATAAGAACATGAGATGAGTTTAGCTTAATTATTAATTAAGCTTGCTTAGTTCTAGTGGGCTATACCTATTATGGCCCTTGTGTCGACCATGACTCCAGGTTTCGGTCGTGACAATGTTTTTTTTTATTGATGTCAAAGATGGAAAAATGAATCTTTACTTTTTCATTATGTGACTCCTTTAAGAGGCTAATACAACCTTCATTATGCCCTTTATGACTTTTGACTATATCATAAGGTGAGAAATGGATATTTGTTGCTACTTTTGTATGTTACTTAAGACAATGAATGGTTTGGTTATAGAGACATTATTGAGAAAGTAAAGAAAATGGTATGAAGGGAATGAAAAGACTATTTGATGTTACATCAAAGCACTACATTCAAGGTCAACGCATTTTGTTGCTACTTAGAGTTATGAGATATAAGTCAATATTGGTTACACACAAGAAAAGTTGAAGTCTACTCGTTAAGGAATTTGAGATACTCAATTTGATGTGATTAAATAAGTTTGACATATATGAGACACTATATTTTTAAAGGTTGATGTCTCTATGCTAACTTGAATGAGTTCCTAATATAAAGCTCCTAAATTCAAGTGTACTGAATGGTCGCACAATACATTAACTTTTATGAACGTGGCATTGATATGGTTTACAAGAGTGGTAAATTACCTTCCACCACGTGTGAGACGGAGATGTTGGATTTTTGAGGTAACACTTATGATTGTCATCTTACTTGGATAAATCTGTTTAATCTTTTATCTTGATAAATTGGAATTATGAATATTATTATTATCATCATTTGATAAATTATCAAGATTATCTTAATGAGAGTTATCAAGTGATTTTTAAAGGGTTATAAACAAGGTTTGGGTATTTCACCAAATTACAAATCAACAATTCATGAAGAGTGTTAGAAAATTACTACAACATAAAACTTTGCCCTCTAAGAGAAAAGCCCATCTTCGCCTATTACCCGAGGTTATTCTATTGTGAAAAGCTTGAATCATGCTCAATGCTATAATAGTTCTCACCATGAGTTTGAGATTAATATTCTCATAAAATGTCTAGAATCAAAGTCTTCGAGTCACTTTTTATTAATTTTTGAACAGATAAAAGAGGGGTGCAAATTTGACCATGGCAAAATTATTTTACAATTTTGTTTATAATCCGTATTTTTCCTAGTTTCAATTGTAAACTCATATTTTCCTAGTTCACTACTTTGGGATTTGGTAATTCTGGGTAACATATGTGGTATCCAGTTGGGAATGAGCAATTATAGAGATTGTGATAATGATTTATTAACAAACTTTACTAGGTTATTTGACTCATTGGTCTTCCGACTATAAAAAAAACCTATAACAAACTTAGGGATAGAATTCAGAAGCTTCGTAAATTTCATTTTCTTGGCTAACAGCAAGGTGCCTAAGACAAAGCGAAATAGTAAATGCTAATGATATTCAACACATCTTTGCCTTGAGCAGTTGATCCCCAACTTCACAAACTATAGCCATGAGGCGATTCGGGTACCTCTTCTGTTTCTGAATAACAAACAGTCTGTGTATAAAGGAGCTAGGACATCAATTAGTACAGAAAACTAAGCATAACTAATTACATCAGATGTTCTATTAAAGGGGGGGAGGAGGAAAGTTCAACATGGTGTACATATTTTGAGATCTGTCAAACTAGCTAGCACCCATTAAATCAAGAGTGAATAAGCTCTGGTATTAGCTTTGGTAGAAAGGAGAGTTCATCCTTTGAAAATTGGGGCTTTGCGTTCAGTTGCATCTTCCCTCCCTCTCCAAATAAGCCTTTTTCTTCTCCCTCCGTTGGTTGGGTTAAATTCGATACTGACTCAGTAATCTCCTTAATTAGGTCAACAATAACTCCCTCTACACCCATTAGATGTTGCATGTAAACAACCTCTGGCACATTACTGCAAAAAATTAAAAAAATGGCAATGCACGGATAATCAACCAGAGGGAAATAAAAGCAGAGCTTAAGAAACAAGAAATAGAGTTGGAAACTGTCCAACTTACTTCAGTTGGCCATAGGTTATGAGGGAAAGCTTCGACTCTTCGATTCTTTCAACCGCTCCAGGACTTCTAAAGATAGCTCTGACTTCGGATACAATCCCATGCAAGCCAGTGGCCAGGCAGAGCTTAATAGCCTCATCCAACGAATTCCTTCTTATGTCCGTGTAAATTTCACATCCTCCATTAGTGAGGAAAAATACCTGCTCACGGCAGGGCCAAAGACTTTCAGAAGAAATCTTCACAACATTTCAGTTTGAACAAAAAAGAAACCTTAATTAACTATGTCTGTGCTTAGAAATTAGTTTGAAATGTTATGATCGGATATAATTTCTCAGTAGAGATAAGATGCATGTCCTGCTTTCTTCTGCTATAATCTACTCATAATAGCACATACATTGCAAAAATGTTTGATCATTTATCACCATCGATTGCTGAAGATCAGCTTCGAATATAAAAGCTAATGGCAATAGCAATAGGTAAGATGTAACAGTATTAGTGAAAAGAAAGTAGTTATACAGGGTATGTGCTCTGTAATTTTCTAACCAACTGGGCCGCATCAGGTTGAAAGCTTGAAAACATGACTGGTCTGTCCTTTGCATTCTCAAACACCACCTGGTTCATGAAATTTAGAAAACCAGAAATTCTTTACGTATCCTTAATCTGAAAACCATAATGCAAAGATCAAACCTCCCCAGTTCCCACCACCTAAAGGCTGAAACAAGCATTACCTTCAGGATAGCTTGAAGTAAACGTGAGACTTCCTCTTCCTCATAAACAATCTGATCATCAAACTTCAATTCGATATTAAAACCCAAGGACTGATCAACATTCCGGAAAACCTCTTCCAATGTACACAGAGGAGCATCTTTTTCAACCTTCCATTCAAAGATCCTCCCATTCTTTGTTTTCCTGAAAATCGATTCCCCCAGAATTGCAATATAGCAGCAAAGCGAAAGGAGAGAAAATGAAACTGCTGTCAACACAAAATTGTCATTCTAAAACTTATTCAATCAAAAGATAAAGACCAAAGGTGAGACTAGTTATCACCTTTCCAGGCTCTTTCTGGGGTCCATAGGAAAGAAATTCAGCTGAAGTAACTTCTGTAACTCTTTTCTCGACAATGACACCCTAAAATTAACACCCAAAAAAAAATCAGTATAGGCTAAAAGAAATCATGGGAGATCAGTGGCTCCAGTTTTATGTAAAGAATGCAAATTATTAGAGCAGAAGTGAAAATAGCTAACCTTGTCTTCATGGAGGATGAAATTGTCATGGTAAATGACTGGATAGTCATCTTTTGTCACCTACAACAAATAGTTTTTTTTGTTTACAAGTTTCGTCTAAAGGTTCTTCGTTCATCCAATAGTTTAAGAAACCAAGAATGGCAATTCAAAGAAAAAAAAAAAAAGGAAAACTGATCAGTGCCCTTCAAAATATTGAGCGCAGATTATAATTAATTCAACAACGAACGCTGAAAGAGTGGAATGGAAGTATTAAAAAAGGGCGAATCAATCGATTAACCATAGCTAGCTCTCTCAATCGATTAATTCATGAAGCTGGCTGAGACATCATGCTCTTAATTTTCGACCAGTTAATCTGGGCCGAACATGAGGTCATGTCCATTGTGGGGCAGCCCAGATCCAGTTGGATCCGGGTTGAAAGTAAGGGCCACAAGCAAAGGACCACATACGTGTCTCCATCAGAACTGGTTACTAGATAAAAAACAAATTGGCAGTTTCGCGGCGAATAGAGGCAGAATTATTTTATCGTCTCAGCGGGGTTCACATGCACCTCCCACGTGCACCCCCACCTCATCCGAACAAAATAACGTTGCCTCTTTCGAGCAATAATAAACGACAGACTGGCAGGAAACGATCGGCAAATTTGTAAGCAACATAAGCCCTGCTGGCCGTTGGTTGGTTACCTACAGTTTTGCTCTGTTTTGGATTTGGACCCTTTGCCCTCAATGTAACGGAAGGAAAAAGTTTGGTTAACGGAGACCAGATAAGGATGACCCTTATTTTCCAGCACCAAGTGAAGTTTTACCATCACAAAATCACCTACCTTGAAATATACATCTTTTTAAGATCAATCAACCACTATTTCATCTTGTTAGTGGTTTTGTGTAGACAGGCTAGAGCTAAGTCTAGTTGTTCTTGCCAAGCTTAAGCATGTTTATAGGCTGCAAAAGTTGGACCAGTGTAGCCAATTGCTATGGTACTTGATGTGAGAAGTTGTTGCCCTGTCACCAACTCGAAAGAGCTTTGTCTAGTTGCCTCATTTCGCTATAAGTTATGGGAGAATTGTGCCGCATCTATCCACCTCGGCCAATCAGTTTGCATTTTGCGTACAAAATGGTGTAAGTACATCTCTAACAAGGCATCACTCTTTCAATTTGCCCATCTATTTAAGGGTAGAAGCTTATGGAAAAGTTCAACTTCGACCCCATCATTTTAAAGAGTTCAATCCAAAATCTCCAAATGAATCATCCATCCCTGTAACTTATAATGGTCAATGGAACACCTCAGTATTTAACTACATAGCTCATGAATAGTCTCGCGGCCTCCTCAGTTGGACATCCATAATTAGTAAGGCTGAAAATGGAATATTTGAAGAAGTGGGCTACCACGACCATGATGCACCCCAATCCATTTACCTTGAGCACTCCCACGATGAAGTTCATACTCAAGCTCTCCAATGAGCAACTAGGTATAAGTAATGGCTCAAGTAATCCTACAACCTTCTTTTGCTCCATTTTGTCTTGTTCGAATATCATACAAGTGCGTACATAACTTTCCACATCCTCTCTCATGTGTGGCCAATAGTAGCTTTCCTCTATTAATGCCAAGCTGTGGTGCATCTTAGGGTGTCCAGCCGAACTCGAATCATGGCACTGCTTTATGATCTCTTTTCACAATCCTCCATGTTGCAAGCACATATAACCCAAACCTTTTAGTGTAGAAAAAGCCATCTTGGACCCAAAACTGTCTGGTTTTCTCATCTTTGCCATACTCCATCAATGATTGCGCCATAGTATCATGTGGTAGTCCCTCCTCGATGCACAGTAAAAGGGCCCCCTGCGCTTCACTTGTGACTATTAACGTGGCCTTCTTATTAAGTGCGTCTGCCACTAAATTTGTCTTATTAGGCTTTTACTTTAATCGGTAGTCTAATTTTGCCAAGAAATCTTGCCAACGAGCTTGTTTAAGATTAAGCTTTTTCTGGTTTTAAAAGTACAATGTCGCCACATTATCTGTCATTACCAAGAATGAAGCCCTAAATAGGCAATGTCTCTCTGTGTGAAGGCAATGCACTACTGCGGTCATCTTTTTCTCTTGCACTGTGTACCTCCATTCGGTCTCAATGAGCTTGCTATTCTCAAAAGCCATTGAATGCCCCTCTTGCATCAACACTTCTCTAGTGGCAAAGTCTGATGCATCAATGTGGACCTCATATAGTTTGGTGTGATCCAATGATGCTAACACTGGCTCCTCACACATTGCCTTTTTCACTTTCTTGAAGGCATGCTAGCTAATTGTATTCCACTCCTATGCCTTTCCATTCCTTAGCATGTCAATTAGTGGTGTGGTGATTAAAGAATAGCCTCTGAAAAATCTCCAATAATAATTAGCAAGGTTCTTAGTCAAGTATGACCTCCACTTTGTTTGGGTCCATTCGAATGCATCCACCACCAACAATATATCTCAAGAAAGGTACCTCTTGAAGGGCAAAGGTGCACTTTTCCTTCTTCATAAATAATTCATTCTCCCTTAATGCCTTCATCACTTGTTTAAGATGTACCACATGCTCGTCTAGTTTTTTACTGTAAATGACAATGTCGTCCAAGTATACAACCATAGACTTATCAGGGAAAGGTTGTAATACCTTGTTCTTGAGGGTGCAAAACATGGTTAGAGCATTAGTGAGTCCAAATGGCACCTACATCATTTAATGCTTTAGCAAAAAATAAATTACCAATAGTGCAAGGGATTGTGAATCTTCGAGGATCTTTGAGTTTAGGTGGCAATTTATTTTGGAGGATTGCACTACACTTTTTTGTAAAAAACACAATTTCATACTCACCTAATTTTCTCTTCTTAGAAAGTATGTCTTCGAAGAACTTAACTTGGCATTACTTCCAAAGCTTCAACAAATGGAATTTTTTCGTGCACGGTCTTGAAGACATCTACAAATTTCTAAAATTGTTTATCAAGCTTCTACTTTTAGAGCCTTTGAGGAAGATGGTTGCCTTGAGAAGTTACTTGATTTTCAACTTTTTCATCATCTTTCTTTTCAACTTTAATAATTACCTTTGCATCATCAACAAGCTCTTTTGAAGATTCAATTGATTTTTCACTTACCTCTTCAACTTGTTTTCCAATTTTTAGAGTGATTGCCTTGCATTGTTCCTTACCTTTAAGGTTGGCTTGAGTATCACTTAGCAAGGTACCTTAGGGTCTATTATTGATAGAGCTATCAAATTATCCCACTTAAGTCTCAAGATTGTGAATTGATGCCACTTGCCTCAGAACTATGGTATCATTTTTCACCATACATTGCATGAGAATATCTTTCAAGGTAGGCTTCTTTTCAGAGATAAAAGGTCTAGCTTGTTGTGGAAAGCCAAAAGGGATGTTAGGCCTTAGATTTGAAGGTCCAAGGTTATTGTTCCATAAAAAATTGGGATGGTTTCTCCAACCAGGATTATAAGTGTTGGATTATGGATTATTCTATTTCTTGTTGAAGTTCCCAACAAATTGAACTGCTTAAGAATTAAATAGATGTTGATAACTTTAATGGCTATGTCCACACAAATCACAAGTTATAAAAGAGTTTGGGATAATATTAACTCCTATTGTATCAAATCTCTTTGTCATAACAGCTACTTGTGTAGTCAAGGTATTAAGTACATCAATCTCAAAAACACTAGCAATTTTTCTAAAACCAAATCTTTTTAAAGGCAGTTAGTAATTATTAACAATCATCTCTTCCAACAAGTTATAAGCCTCATAAAGATTATTACCAATTAATACCCTATCAACAGTAGCATCAATTGTATATCTAATTGAACTTACCAACCCATTATAAAATGTTTGAACTTGTAGCCATTGAGGAAGCCCATGTTGTGGGCACCTTCTAAGCAGATCCTTAAATTGTTCCCAAGCTTCATACAAGTACTTGCCATCAAATTGTGTAAAAGCAATTATATCATTCCTCATTTTTGCAATCTTGGCTAATGGAAAGAATTTGCGAAGCATTTCTGAGCTAAGTCTTCCCATGTAGTGATAGATCCCATTGAAAGTAAATTTAGCTAGCTCTTTGCCTTATCCCTCTATGAAAGAATCTCAATCTAATAGCATCATTAGTCACCCCCATTATACTTTAAAATGTCACAAATTTTCAAAAAATTCACAAGATGAGAATTAGGATCTCCACTGGATAACCCACTAAACTAAAGTGAAGACTAAATCATTTGAATCTAAGCATACTTGATTTCAAAATTATTAGCATTGAAGAGGGGTCTTCTAGTGCTTTGGTGCAAGCTTTATAAGAGAGGAACAACATAATCTTGCAGACTTTGTTCTCTTCAAGAATATGATTGATAGCATTGTTGCCATTATTATTATTATTTTCACCCATTGTCTGATTTAGAGTTTAAACTTACAAATTTTTCCTTTTGAAGTCTTCTAAAAGTTCTTTCTATCTCTGGACTAAAGGGAATAAGATTCAAGTTTATGCTCTACATACAACAACCAAATATGTCTAAAAACAAGAAAAATAAAGTTTGAATTAATACTAAATTTTCTTGTCATTAATATTAGTAAAAATTTTAAAAAATAATTTCTCGACAACGGTGCCAAAAAGGTTCTTTTAATTTTCTACCCACACTAGTACACATATCAAACAGATAATATATTGATAAACAGAGTATCGATCTCACAAAAAATTGATCTAAACTTTCACTAAGTACTAAAATTAACACAATTCAGTTTTATCTAAACAAACAAAATCAAGTGACTAAATAAATTATAAACTAACTAAATCTAATTAACAAGAATTTAAACTAAAAAATCAAAGCAATAATAAAATTGGATAAAATTCAACTCAAAAAAGCCTAGCATTACAATATCTTTCACATTTCATCTAAATCTTGCCTTTCTTTCTTAACTTATTCCAATGGGTTTAATTGCTAACCTAAAGTCTTCAATTATTTATAAAGCTCTCTCAAAATTCTTTTAAAAACATCTATTTTAATCAAAATAGTATATCTTTATGTGAATTAAAATTAAAACAAATTTATTAAATTCAAGCTCTAATATTGGCTACATCTAGCATATAGATATATCTCTATCCAATACACATATCAGTTTATTCATCTAAGCAAATAAATATGATCATATGCCATTTCAAATTTTAGCCTACTCTAAACTCCCTCTCTTAAGTTATGTTTAGATTTTCAAATCAATTTAATTGGAGATCAATCAATCAAAAGCATTAAGAACAAATTGGAATAAACAATTCAATTCAATTGAAAACAAGAAAGAATGAGATTAAAAATTTAAACTATATGTGAGTTCAATTGCAATCCTAGAAAAAAGAAATTAGCTACTCATAATTGCAATAATAAACAAAACATATAAAGTTCAACCATCAAGAGTTATAAGAATAATAAAAGCTAAGGAAGAAGGAAAAAAATAAATATTGGCAACCTTAGTCTTCAACCTTCAACCTCAACTTCAAACTTCTTGAATCTCTCTTAGGATTTTCTTTTTACTACTAACTTCTCCTTAAGCTATATTTAAATGCCATTAACTTAACCTAATATTTCTTAATTTTACCTACTTGGCTCTTAATATGGGTTTAAAATAATTATAAAACCCATAAAAATTTAATCAACCTATAGCCTTTTCTTTTCCACACTAATTCTTTAGATTTTTCCTCTCAATGCTGCGATGCATCGCCTCAATGCCATGGCATTGGCCTGGCTGCAAGTTTTCTCTTACTGATTATTGCACTTTATCAACTTCCAAGGCATTTTACTCCATTTTCAAGGTAGAACTAGGTAAAATGATCTTCATAAAAGTTGTATATCTATTTCTTAGCTTTCTAATGGTCTAAGAATCATGTCATGTGGACATTTGGAGTGGAAGTTATACTTGAAATACCACAAGATGTACAATCAGAACCTTAGTCCTTTAATCACCTTTCTTCACCAATTTGAAACCTTATTCTCTAAAATCTTACAAAAGCATTAATAAATAATAATTAAAAGCAAGTAAATAAACATAAAATTGCATAAACTAAAATAACTTAACAAAGTAAACTAATTAGAAAAATAACAAAATCCTAATCTAAACTTAAAAACTTAGCTTGCTTTTAATAACAAAATGAGACAAAATAATTCTATAAAATAAAATTATCAATAGCTTTTGATTCCAAAAATCAATATTAATGGTCAGGAGCAAAAGATAGAATATGAAGGTCTTCTTAGAATTTACTTTACTTGTAAATGTTATGGTTACCCGAAAGAGATATGTTCTTAAAACCCTATTAAACCAACTACTAATCCTAAGGGTGAATCTGCACACAAGAAAAAGGTTGTTGTTGGAGACTCTTCCTTTGGTCCTTAGGCAATGGTGACCAGGAGACAACATTATCATCCAAGCAAACAAGGCCTTAAATTATTGTGGTGGCAAAAGAATGGTAATAACAATGGATCTCATTTTACGATCCTTCAAAAAGAGGAAATCGATTTGGTGACAAGAGATTCGAGAGAAAATCACAATACAAAGCCAATCCATTGTTCAATCCTCAAATTTTCTGAATTAAAAAAGACCAATGTTGGTTATAAAGCTTGAGAAAATTTTAAATGAAAAGTTCTTAGCAGGATCCTTTAAAATCCATGATGTGCCAAATGATGTGATTGATTCATATGGACCCATGCAAGAGGAACCCCGTGTTGACAAACACAATGAAATGGGAAATCCTGAAAGCCAAACCACTTCTGTCCTCTTATGGATTAGAATTTGAAATCTAAAGTCAATAATGTAACCTTCCACTCTCCACATGTAGCTACCAACGTAAAAGATATCTTTCCCATGCAAATAGACTCCATTCCTAAAACTCTTGACCCCAACATGGATAAATAACACCATACACTATCTTTTTTAAACCCTAAAAATCACAAAATGGATCCACCTACTAAATCGGTCCTAGCTCAGAAAATCAAAGCCCTCCAATCATCACATAATGGTAGTGGAGGAGTAGTTATTGATTGAAGTGGTAAACCACTTGACAAAAAAAATTCTAATAGGTGATTAAAAAGGGTTTGTTAAAAAATAAAGCTTGGGGTTAAAATAACAACGAAGATGGCTTTACTTTCAATCCCATGCAATTAATTAAAAGTAATTAATAAGGTGCTAATAGTGGAAGAAGTGGTAACGTCAGATACAGGTATGGTTTTTAATAAAAATCAGAAAATCTGACCTATTATGTTTGCTTTATTCTTTCTTGATTTTGGTTATGGATATGTACTTGTGTGGAGATATCAAGTGGCAAGTAATTAATCACTTTTGAATATGAGTAAGGACTTCTGCAGATAGTTGGCACCTTTGATATTGGTTCTAGTTGAGCCATGAATTAGTGGAACTACCACAAATAACATTATCCATAAGATTGAATTTGAATTCTCAAATCGTATTAAAGTTAATGGGTTTTAAGTGGAATTTGGCTCATGTGAAATCATTGAATTTCAGTTAGAAATTTGATGAATAACAGTCAATTTTTACTTTACATGGTGGAGTAAGAGAATGGGCAATAATGTTTTCTCGTGAGGCATTTACAAGGTATGTTACACGGACAGCTTGTCGTGCCCTTTAGGATGATCTTTAAATAATAACATATACAATTATGGGTCTTTGGTTTGCAACACCTTTGACATTTAATAAGAATCTAAGCAAATTAGTCACACAGCAAGCCTAAGGAGCCTCATGAGTGTGATAATGATATAAGAAATGTATATGAACGTGGATTTAATATTCTTATATTTGATGCATAATTACATGAAATTGTAAGTAAGTAAATTGTATTTGGTCAAGGGTGATATAAGGTTATAACTATGCATGTAGTTATTAGTGTGGTGAAGTATGTTGCTGGTTATTGGAGCATAAGATGGAAAAATGTAGATGTAAGCACACTGTTGATGGTACAATAGCTATATAATCTTGTTATTTAAATTCAAGTTGTATGCTTAATTCATATCTTGCATAATGGACATTGTTAAACAGTGAACATGCGTTGTGTGATTTAATTGATGAATTAAGTGTCTAAAAGTTTGATAAAAAATGAGTTATGACTTAATATATTGTGATGTGTTTAGGATTGATATGAGATGACATCCATGCACATAATTATGAATCTGAATATTTATGAATATGCATGACAAGATGTAGATATATCGATGAGAATAGGTTTTAATTATATATTGAGGGGTATGTTAGCAGAGCAACATGTCATGTGGTTTTGATTGCATTATTGAACATAATTCTGAGATTTATGTTTTAGTGGAATAAGAATGTGGTATACTGTGTAGTGTATATACATTTGAAGTTGAGGTTGGAATAGATTTGCTAAGATATGTATATAAGCACATATAATAGAGGAAATGAAGGATAAATGAATTAAGTATGATATATTAAATGTGTTGAATGCTCTATTGGATTGAATCAGGTTGATGAGATTGGAATGAGTATGATAATAGTGATGTTCAAGGTTGAACCTTATGGGAAAAGCCAATTAAGAGACAAAGAAAGAAATTATTTGGAGAAGGACTAAATTGAAAAGAAAAAAATGTTAGGAGAAAGACTAAATTGGAAAGAAAAAAATATATCGAAGGACTAAATTTAAAAAAAATAAATATTGGAGACTAAATTGAAAGGAAAAATAAAGAAAGAGGTGTAAAATGTGAATAGAGTAAAACGTAAGCACTAATGGCCAATTAGTCATTATGTCCACCTAAGTGGGGGGCTCCTATCAAGTCATCTTGGTTTGTTTCCCCATTATTCATTGGTTTGAAAAGATTTCATGTTTCTCTCTTGGATAAAGGTTCCAAGCTTTCTCCTTGAATTTTCAAGCACTCTTATTAGTAAATTGGAGAAAAGTAGAAATTAAGGTAAGAACAAGCTTGCTTCATGATTAAACTTCAATTTTATTAATTATAATTCTTAGTTCGGTTATGTTCTAGCCACTGTTCACTCTCTTCAAATTTGAAGATTTTGGAGATTTTGATAACCTTAATCTAGCCACTAAGGTAAAGGTTTTATGTTTAATTGATTAAGATACTTGATGTTGTTATTTGAAGAATGGTAGAGGAGTTAAATGCTTAGTTGGTATGCTGAAAATTCATACATGAATGTCTATGAATGCTAGGAAGCTTAAGGAACTTTAAATTGGAGTTTTTATGGGTTTTCAATTCAAAGATCAAGTTGGCTATGGGCTGTTGAGTTAGAAATAGGTTGATTCAAGGTGAGTTTTACTTGACTTACCTCAATTTGAAGTAAACTAGCTAGAATTGTGATAGAAATGTTTTGGATATCAGGTTTACTACTATTATGCAATATAATCTTTGGAGCAAGGTTTACTACACTTTCCCATCAGTACATTACTGATATTTATGCATTGGCTCAATGATAGACTATCTTTGGAGCACCAAGTCTTGTTAAAAAAAGAAGATTCAATCAGTTGTATTAATAGAGTTGTAGTATAAGTAAACTGCAAGGTGAGCGGATATTGCATCCAAACAATTTTGGAAATGCATGACTTGAGGTTTAAATTTGTTGCAATGTAAAGGTTTTTTACAGAAAATAATTGCATGGGGACAAATTGATTTCTTTATGATGTTGTATGAGCCCTATGATAGGGTGAAAGTGTTACATATATTCATGTGTATGTTTTGAGCTATAAATGACTTGTGATTGAATTCTGTGTCATGTATGCATTAGGTTGATGTGAATGATATGTAATGTGATTGTTATGTTTGATGATGCATAGTATAGCCTTGATGAGGAAGAAAAATACCACTAGAATATAAGGGTCAAAGTATCCGAATAAAGTAAGGGTCAGAGTACCTTAAATGCACATTTAGCCTCAATAAGGCAGATAATACCTTTAGACAAAGTTATGTATGCATTCTGTTGTGAAATTGCAATTGATGTATGTAATGGTTATGTTTGTTTTGATGGGTAAGACTTAATTGCATTATGGTTTTACATAGGAAAAATATGCACATTACTTACTAAATGTATATTGATTTGAAATAAATTCCTGGTTGTTGCTTGTTCCCCCCTCCATATCCCTCACTAAGTAATTGTACTCACCAATTCAACTTCATGTTTTATAGATCCAAAGCCACATAAGACATAGACATGCGAAGGATCTGAGAGCCTATTTTGGTAGGTTCGATAACCATGGCGTTTGATATTATCTTTTGCACTTGAGTCATTCCACTAGTAGTTGATAGTTAATAGATGGTTTTGGTTAAATGTTAGTCATTTGATCTTGTTTATATGTACATGTATACTCTGATTATGAGTTAATGCAAATGCCTAGTGTATGGCAAGGTAGCCATTAGTTGGCAAACTTAGAAACTGTTTATGTAATGTCGATTCTAAGTAATGGCAATTGTTTTTGACACAAAACTGTGCTTATTGTATATAAGTGAAATGATATGCTATAAAATATGAC